TATATATATATATATATATATATATATATACATATATATATTTATATATATACATAAATACTTATATATTTACCATAAGCTATAGAAGTTAATTCTAATTTATAATATGAATTGTAAAGTGCACATTTTAATCAATCCGATAGAAATTATTTCAAATTTTGTACTTGTTGCAATTACTCGGAGTCAATGCATTCACGAAATGAATTGAGCCGCATATTTAATTTTGCATTATAGTATATATAAATATATATGTAGTCCGTTAACTGAACTTAAGTAAGATTGAGGAAGAAGTTGAACTACTTAACATCCATTGTTATATATATGTATATGTGCCCAAAATTGTGAACTTTTGATCTATTTGTCATCGGATTGAGTCTGAAGAGTTCGCTTTGCTTTTATGTCTATATATGTGTCCGCCACATATACCATATATTAGATTTACGTTGCATTTGTGTGTGTGAGTGCCCTACAGAAATTCCCCGTTAGCTAAGAATAATATTTGTTGTTGCCATCTGGTCCCCAATTTAAAAAATTAGTTTACACCAAATTGTTAAAGTATATGCATATTTGTAAAGAATCCAATAAAATGTTCTGTGCTCGACCTGAATGATGTGTAAATCGAGCCGGGATATACGTTTATATGAAGGTCGTATGCAAGCAGAGTCATTGACCCATTCGATCACCTGCAAATGTATATAAATAGGTCAAGTTAAACAGTCGAGCATTGCACTCAATTAAAAAAAACGTTTAACTTCAACTTCAGGAGCAAAATGAAATCCCTAACCAATTTAAATGAACATTATTATACAGTTCCAAAGCATCCTTCAAAATTCGTATTCGTAACCAAAATACTTTCAATGAATGTACGCTCCAAAATATTGGAAGTCAAATGTATCTGCAAATTGTATTATTTATGTATTTAAAATTGTTTAGTTTTTGCTTTTTTTCCAAATATTTATATAAATAATGTTTCGCAATTATTCAAAAAGTTTTCTAATACCCTAAATGTATATCATCTGTATCAATTAACTATTAGCACATGTATACACACATACAATTCAATAAAAGCATATTTATAAATATATATATATTATATACAAATCAAGTTATGATAGTCCCGTTTTAAAGTTTTGTGTGTGTACTTACGAGTAAACAAAACAAAAAACATTTCCAAAAATTTAAATTACAATTATTGATTGTTTACAAATTTAAATTTGCTGATACAAAGTGAAAGCTAAATCAATAAAATAAATATATTAACTATTAAAACTTGGTGTTCGCATTATTAAACGGATTGCTGGGGGATCGTAGGGTGCGACCACCTGAAATACCATAAAAGCCAGGCGAAAGCTTGAAAGAAATTATTCGGCTGTGTGATATTGCTGTGCATTAGTAAACAAAGACGGCATATCCCTTCTGTTGTTGTTGCTGCCGCAGAGCTTTTGACAGCTGACTCTGTGGACAGAGAGCTTTTTACTTCGCTAAGGTGCTTCGCTCTCCTCTGGTTTGTTTTGTTTTGGTGCTTTGTACAAATGCTTTTGAAGTAACGGTAAGGCCGGCACATGCGCTGTGCCAGTAACGGCGAGTGAGAGAGAAAGAGAGCGGACTGAGGCTGGGCAGTAAGTAGAGACGGCTCGGCGCAACTTCGCTGCAGAGTTTGTTCGGGTCAGAATCCGATAGGCGGTCAGAGAGTTCGTGTGCGGCGCACTGCGAAGTTACAACCGGATAGTAGAAGGTGTAATCTAGAAATACATATTATTTCTCCCTAATGCTGGGCCAAAATCGGGCACCTAAAAATGTTATGTGAAACCGTAAATGGGGAGCAAAATTTAAATTAATCTGCATTCGAATCGGATTGAACGGTAAAACGAAGGAACAATAAAACGTAACCCAAATTCAATACTCAAGTGGAGGAAAAATTAGCCGCGTTTGTGTCTGTGTATGTGTAGTTTACGCTCGTGTATGTGTGAATTTTTCATGCGCAATTTGGGTTACAAAGCAAACAGACTAGCGAAAAGCGAAAAACGAAAACCGAAAACTGAAAAACGGGTATTAAAATGCATTAAAACACGTTCGACTGGGAAGGTCCTCATTGATTTTCCTACGCACAGAAGTATGCAACACAAAGCAAAGTAATCGGGGAGGCGATGGCATGGACTGCGAGTGCAAATGAGGTTGGAAACTCTCTGGCTGCATTGGGAGCGTAAGTGCCCCAGCAACAGCAACAACAACAAAGACAAGAACAAGAGAGGGAATAGAGACAGGGAAATCGGCATTGAGCAACAAAGGACAATCAGGATGTGGACGGCGGCTGGGATATCGGCGCCATGTAGCTGCTAACCAAGGCGACGACCTTCCAGAAACAGCTGCAACAGCATATAAAGAAGTGCAACCACAGAAAAAGGAGTGGAGTGACGACGAAGACCTGAAAGAGGACTCCCTCTCTCTCTCTCTCTTTCTCTCTCCCTCTCTCTCTCTTGGGGAGCTTCGTTCATATTGCAGGCGCATTGCCAAGCTGCGGGCACCTTGCCAAACTGGCTCCCGTTCTGCCTAGTAGTGGCATGGCCGGCCTCGTGAGCGGCGGTGGCATCAGCGGCGGAGGAAGCGGTGCCAGCACGGGCGGCAGCTACAAGCACCAGAACCACAACCAGAGCCAGCACCAGCACCAGCACCAACATCAACATCATCTCATTTCGCCCACCCATACGTCGTTGAGCCACGCGCATACCCTCACCCACACGCTGCCCGCTGGCATATGCAGCAGTGACAGCGGCATCTCGACACTAAGTGCCATCTCGCCGCCCCTCTCGGCGGGCAATTCCGTCTGCAGCACGACGGCGGCCGGCGGCAACACGGCCGGCGGCAGTCCTCAGCTGCGCACCTCGCCGGCCCTCAGCATGCTGGGCAGCGGCACGGCAACGGCGAGCGGCAAGGCGCAGACTCAGACGCAAACGCTGAGCCCGGCGGGCAGCGGCTCCCCGAACTATCTGAGTACGATGAAGCTGCTGGGTCCAGCTGCCAGCATTGACCTGGGCAGTTCGCCGCTCTCGCATCGCAATTACAGCAACTCGCTGAAGGGCTTTAGTTTCAGACGCAGCTTCGATGACAAGATCATCGCTCCGCCCTTCTTGTCCCACGCCCACGGCCTGGGATTTGGCGGCGCGAATGCACCAACAGCTGCGCCCACGCCCGTGCCCATACCCTACCCACAGTTCCATCCGACGGCGCATCATCATGTGAATATGGCTGCGCCGGTGGGGACGAGCGCCCATCATTTGCACTTGCATCACCATGGCACAGGAACGGCGCATCAGCCGCTGTCGCTGGGCACGCTGACGTCTTCGCAGTCGACCACGAAGCTCTCCTATCGGGACGACTTTCTTCAGCAGATTGGCTACCTGCCAACAACACGCATCTACAGCACCCCGACGAGCATCGTTGACGAGGACAAGGCCCAGCAGGACTTCCTCTCTCTATCACTCTCACCGCCCCTCAACCGGCGGCGCGACATGCCGGCCCTCCGAGGTCCTTTCGTCAGCCTGTGAGTAGTCATCCCTCGCCTCTACTTAGCTGTAGGCTCTTTTATCGCACCCATTTTATGCATTTTATGCCTAGTGTGAGTCACAATTAAGTCCATCGGGACAACGAGCACCTCTCAATTTCTCTGTTTGCATATCCGCCACATGAATCGGTTCCCACCCTGCGTGAACAGTGGGGCCGACTGCCAAAAACTGAAATATCTTACATTTCTATAAACAATCAGCACCGTTAAGCAAATGAACACCACAGAGCTTGTAATAAGATTCTAATAATCCCTAACAAAACTCATTCATGGTATACTCGGGGCGTACCCGGAAGGTTTTGCGGCATAGCTTAGATAGAGTTGTCTTCATAGCAGATCAAATGTTATTTTATTATATTATATATTTAAGAATTTACTATCCAATAGCAGTTAATATACATATGTATATGTACATATGTATGCATACGAATATCTATCTACATATATAAGGTGTACATACATATATTAAAATTTATCTGGATTTGTAATGAGATGCAGATTTATATTTTTCATAGAATCAAAATTAATATAAGCATCATTGCATTTAGAATCAAAAATCAATCAAAAAATGACAAACTCACAGCGAAATTGTAATTACCATTAACGAATTCAATAGCTGTTTGAACAATGTGCAGTCACTGGCGATATCAAATCGATTGGGTTACTATTTGCGGCGCTCTCGCTTCCCCGAGAACTTTATGCGCCTACGCACAGACGTATTATCAGATAAGCTCACGTACTGACCAATCCAAATAGTGTTTTGGCTTGTTTATGTTTTCAATTTTCTTACTCGCACACACATACCTGTGTATGTATGTATGTATGCTGCACTTGAAAAACAGATGACGTCTTCATGAGCTCACACATGTAAATACATACATATGTATGTACATACATACATAGGTACTTGTGGAATTGCACATAGCACATAAAAGTCTATGTACGTATTTGTGTGTGTGTCGCTTCTATAAATAATAATATACTGAAGAATCAGCCGCCACGGAGAATTTGTAGTTTAGTTTGGTGAGCGAACGACGAACGGCAACAAAGAAAAGCAAAGCAAAAGATCTAAGGTGCGTGATTCTCTTTGTGCATTAGGGTGAGTCATGCGAGGAACAAGTGTTTTGGCAGTGGGACCTCCAGGCGCTTGCCGGGGCGTTGAGAGGGGCCGCCTGAGTAAGTGCGACTGAAATGGGGGGATAAATCAATACTCCCAGACGAGCTTAGTCACTTGTGTGCGTGAAGTGCATGTGGTGTGGGTCCAACAGAGTTGGAAATTCCAGTCAAAAATCATTTACATGTTTGATTTGAAAGCAACCATCGGCTGGCGATTGCTCTAGTTTGGCTCAGTGCCCAACAAATCTCTCTTTATAGTGGCACTAATGATGACAATAATGACGATGAAGCTGCTCGATTCTCGCTGCTTGAGCTATTCGCATTCCATGACAGGCACTTGCCGCCGCCTTGGCCAAGCCGACGAATTGATGAGGAACATTGTAGAATATATATAAATATATATACATATGTTTGACTGTTTGACAATGTGTGTGTGTGTGTGTGTGTGTGTGTGTGCTGTGTTGCCGTGGGTCTCTTTAGCTTCACAGTTTCCACACATGCACACGGATGGCCGACGTATTTTGTGTTTTGCCGTGATAAAAGCGACAGCAAATTGCTATTGGATTCTTTGACTTTGGCTCGCTCATTTCGCTTGGGGAAACGTACGAAAACAGCGACGGTTCAGCATTCTCGCAGATGGTAGCGAACCGTGCGGTTGTCGAGTCAAAAAGATACACATGCTTTTCATATTTTAGAATTTTTTGCGTTGTGCGACTTATTTATTTACCTTCGCTCGCATCCTCAGCGCGCGCGTTATGTAAGCTGTCTTTGAAAGCGTGAAGAGTGTGAACGGTTCGCGAGCGTACAAAAACAATGCTAGCACCGAAGCTGGCCGCCAACGCATAGGAAAGTCAAGGTCGCTAGCCTCCACTGCATCCCTGGCGAACGCCCCCTATAATTGCGCCTGAGTTGGGTGGGCAAGAGCAATGTAGGCAACAGCGCAAAATTCGAAAAGCCACACAAACTCGAAACCGAACGCGTAATGGATAACTGGTGGATGTACGCCCCAGGGCCGGGGCCCGTTTGCCCGAGGGAGGCCAATGGCACGATGACGGGTAGCTGGGCGTGGCGGGACTGGCAGCTAAGTGGCGCCCTGATCAAGCAGCACTATGCGGAGTATTCCCATCTGCTGGATATCTTTGCCAGCACGGTACGCCAATATCTCGGACAAATTGTCGGAACTCTTTCGCAGGACGAAATATTCGTATACGGATTCAAGGTGTGCCTGCTGCTTCTCTTCCTCTATCTCATGCACCTGCTGCGGCCGAGCAGCACAGAGAGCTTGGCCTCCGCAACGCCAGCTACCACGCCCCTGATCGCCAAGGCGCTGAGCTGCGACTTCAACTTCGTCTCCGAGCAGGAGAAGCGAGCCGCCCAGGAGGCAGCCACTGAAGCGATGCTGGAAGTGGAGGAGAAGAAGCGACGCAAGCGCTTCACCAAGAAGCGCAAATGCGTCTCCGCCGGACCAATACTTATTGCCCTACGCCATCAATCACAGCGACCTAAGAGCAATAGGAATTCTGGCCTATATTTCGAGCCGCTGTCCCCGAGGGATCAAATACTGGAGAATGTCCTGGTACTCAGAGAGACGCCCTTGACGCTTCAGCTACCCACTAGCACTGCGGATGAGCAGTCGGTGGCCGTCCTAACCACGAGGGTGGAGCCAGAGGATGAAGATTTGGTTGCCCTCATGTGCGTGTGCTCATATTTAACCATTTTCCTTATCGATAGGAAATCTAATCTTTTTCAAGCCACGCACTCAAGTGTAATGAGCTATCTGACTTGGGAACTGTTATAGATAAAATTCATTCGGGCTGAAAAATATGCACATGTACTATTTTCTATGTACATACCAATAATCCTAGACCGTTTATTCTTATACTTGCTTAGTCACATCCTAATTATTCTAATACAATTAAGCTCATTTATCTAAGTTCCCCATACTCTGCTCCACTTTCAGGTCGGAGCCCCGCGGCACGCTGAGCACCACTGATGAAATTTACCCAGACTCGCCAGATAGTAGTCTCTACGGCTCCGACGAAGAGCAGGAGGATGCCTCGCAGTACTGCCGTGGTGGCTACCATCCGGTCGTCATTGGCGACATATTCGACAATCGGTTTCGGGTTGTGCGCAAGCTGGGCTGGGGTCACTTCTCCACGGTGTGGCTATGCAGAGATCTAAAGTGAGTAAAGGCGAATGTTTGATAGCCAACACGTTGTGGTATCACGTATCTTCCATCGCCAACAGAGACGAGAAGTATGTTGCTCTTAAGGTGGTCAAGAGTGCTCCCCATTACATAGAGACTGCAGCGGACGAGATCCGACTGCTGGAGGCTATCCGCGATGCAGATCCGCTCGATGTGAAGAGAGAGCGGATCGTCCGGCTTCTGAATCACTTCACGGTGCGCGGCGTGAATGGCGTGCATACCTGCCTGGTGTTCGAGGCGCTCGGCTGCAGCTTGTACAAGCTGATCGTGAAGAACAACTACCAGGGACTGGCCATCGCACAGGTGCGCAATATCATCAAGCAGGTGCTGGAGGGACTGGACTACTTGCACAGCAAGTGCAGCATTATTCACACAGACATTAAGCCCGAGAACATTTTACTTGTGATTGACAATGCGGCGGCCATGAATCAGCAGATCGATGACGAAATCAACAGTCTCCGCGTGAAAGGCGTCGACTTTCCAGATTCGTACAGTAAGATTGATCAGGCCCAGTGCCCAAAGGGTCTAGAGTCCGCTAAGCCTTCTTGTTGTCTCTCTTGCAGTCAGCTCGATCGAGAAGCAGACGAAGACGAGGGCCAGGTGGCCGCTAATCGAGCCGAATGGCTCGACGACCACGAGCAACAGCACGGCGAACAACTCGACTTCATCGACGCCGCTGGCTGCAGTGGTCATGTCCTCGCTGGACAAGGACGACACCACCACCTCGTCGACGCTCAACTCCAACACCACATCCTCGCTGGCCTCCAAGTACTCAAGCCTCCTGGGCGACAGCGAGTGCAACGGCGTTGGCTTGGTCAGCGTGTGCGGCGTCGATAGCCCCACAATCGGAGGCCCTACGAATTTAAGCAATCGTTATCGTGCTGAGAAGAAAATCACTGCCAAGGTGAGTGTCCCCCACGGCTCCACGGCCCCACGGCCCCGCAGGCCTTTCGGCCGACCTAAGCACTGTTTCCAGCTCATCAGCGTCGAAGACATTTTGCACCCAAGCCAAACCACTCATGAAAATGAACAAAATACTAAACTATGTTTATCACTGTACCACTGTATGTATGTATGTACGTAAACGTATGTATGTATGCATTGATGTGAAACTCCCACGGCAATTTGTTGTTATTCAATTTGATTTCATTCGATTTTACTTGACTTGGTTTCCTTGCCATATTGATTTCCTTCGAACACTTTTCATTTCGTTAGTCTTCTATTGACCACGATGAGGACACAGACACCGATACCCTCGGTGACAATAGCACCATTGCCAGCGACACGCCTACCGACCAAGACGTTAGTCTTAGCAAGAATATCGTTACCGTTCACTCAGACAAGGTAAAGTGCAAAAATAGTTCCCCCCAAATTCACTCGCTCACTCGCTCGCTCGTTCGTTCGTTCGCATACCTAGTAACTGTGTTTGATGCTTCTCTGTCTGTGCGAATCTGGGCTGGCCTAGACCCATTACGAAAGACCTCCGCCTAGCTCGAAGTGCCTGCGTTACTAATCCAGCATCAACGGTCTTCATTGACTTAACTAGAGTTTGAAAGTCTAGGACGTTATCATTCAATGTAGCCTTCAACCGAATGTCGTTGCTTGAACCCAAATATGGCTGTTCCTCATGTTTTCTGCTTATAAACATTTTCCAATCTTCAGTTGCTTACTTTCATATGTATTTCATTGTTACACGCCACTGTAGACACTCATTACTACCAATATGAAATGCTTAAATCTATATACATACATATGTACATGTTATTTCACCCGATGTTTACTGCTGGCTGAAGCTTTCAATGTTAGAGCCATATTATAAAATGTTTTTTTTTTTTTTTTTTTTTTTTTTTT